CAGTTGTTAGCCACCATTTGAGTGTCCCAATAAGGGGATTTGATCAAAGAATATTACATGAAGTCTGAATATGATCAAAACACACTGTACAAAATTCTAAAAGAATTGGGATTAGAGAGATGGCTCAGCAGTTAAGAGCACTGGCTGCTCTTGCAGAGGAATGGGTTCAGTGTCTAGCATCCACATGGCAGCTCAAAACCACTTTTAGCTCCAGCTCCAGGGGGTCTCACACCTTTTTCTGTGCTCTGAGGGCACTGTGTGTATGTGGTGCACTTGTATACATGCAGGCAAAACACTCATACCCATAAAATCAAATAAAAAATCTTTTAAAAAATTATCAAATAGGGTTCGAGAGATGGCTCACCAGTTAAGAGCACTGGTTGCTCTTGCAGAGGACCTGGGTTTGCTTCCCAGCACCCACATGGTAGCTAACAACCATCCATAACTCCAGTTCTAGGGGATCCAACGGCCTCTTCTGACCTCCTTGGGCATTCCGTGATACAGGTGCACTTACATACATGCAAGCAATGCACTCATCCACACAAAATTAAAAATAAAAATTTTAAATTAAAAAATTGGCTGGGTGGGCAGGTGGTGCACGCCTTTAGTCCCAGTACTTGGACGGCAGAGGCAGGCAGATCTCTGTGAGTTCAAGGCCAGCCTGGTCTACATAGTGAGTGCCAGGCCAGCTGGGGCTACAGGGAGACCCTGTCTCAAAAAGATCAAGAAAAAAAAAATTTTTTTAATTGTCAAATAATCAGTAAAAACATTTTTAAAAATAAAAACCTAGATCTTAAGAAAAGAAAACAGTTGTATGGATATATGAAAATGTCACAGGGTTTGGACAGATGACACAGGGGTTAAGAGTACTGGCTGTTCTTGCAGAGGGTCCAGGTTTAGTTTTCAGCACTCACATGGCAGCTAGCAACTGTCATTAACTCCAACTCCAAAGGATCAGGTGCCTTCTGGCCTCCTGGGGCACTGGTGCACTTAGGTATGTGTAGGCAAAACACTCATACACATAAAATAAATAAATAAATAAATCCAATTTTTAAAAAAATCATAGTGAAACCTATTGTTTTGTATAATTAGTATACACTGAAAATAAAAATATCTTCAATGTCAAACTGTGTGCGTGGCTCATATTTATCATCCCAATACTCAGGAAGTGGAAGGCAGGAGGATCGTGAGTTCAAGATCAGCCTGGGCTAGACTCTGATTCAAATAAAGAATAGAGGGGGTGGTGAGGAGAGGAGCAGGCAGGGAAGAAAGAAGAAAAGAGGAAGGAGAAGAGGGGAGGAGAACACTCAGGACAGGGAAAGCAGTGATACCTATGGAAAAAGTTCTGAAGCTTAGACATTATCAGCCCTAAGAAGAGAAGAGGGAAGGGTCAAAGCACACAATATGGCATTTTAATTATGGGATGGCCACCAGAGCTGCCCCTTTCCCCAGAGGCTCAGAGGATAGAGGGTCTAGGTCAGGGGTGTCTGATACCCAAGGAGGACTGAGCACTAAATGGATCAGGAGGATGGATAAGTGCAGTGTCCATTAAATTCACTCTTCAGTGGCTGGAGGGGGACACCCCATTTTCTGAAGTATTAAATTCACCTTCACATGGTTTAAGTGATGAGGAGGGATGACTCAGAGCTAAATGCCAATGTGGGAACTTTAGTTGATAGTGACATATCAATGTAGATTGATTGTAACAAATGTGCTACTCTGGTGGGGGAGTGCTAATAATGGGAGAGGCTGTGCAGGTGTGGGGGCAGAGGACATGTGGCATTTGCCTGTACTTCATGCTCAATTTTGTCATAAAACTAAAAACAAACCCATTGTGGTTGGAGGAGAGCTGTTGTGATGGCATAAAAGGAATTGTTTTGGTGTGCACAGTGCTTTCAAATCTATACAGTGGGTTTGGTCTCTCATGTGAACGTTTGAAAACAGTACAGGATCCTTTCAGCCTTCAAGATCAGGGATGGAAACTCAGACCTGATGTGGTCTGTCTCAGTTTAAAGAACAAGTAAGTATTCAAGTCAAGTCGTACAAGTTCTCTCATTCCAAGACCAGTGACCGGCTCACATTCCACCAGCATCTCCAACAGTTCACAAGCTTTCAACAAAAACAATGAACAGAGGGCTGGGGAGATGGCTCAGAGGTGAAAAGCACTGACTTCTCTTGCAGAGGACCTGGGCTCAGTTCCCAGCACCAACATGGCAGCTAACAACCATCTGTAACTCCAGTTCCATGTAATCCAAATCCCTCTTCTGGTCTCTGTGAGCACTGCATGCACATGGTGTGGCTTACATGCACTCAGGCAAAGCACTCACACACATACAATAAAAATAATTTACTAATTAATTAAAACAAGAAAAACCACAACAAACATTTCTGTTCTGGATTAGATATTAAAAGTAAATACTGTTTATTACTATAAGTAAGATATTGGGAGAAAATGTAAATGAAATTAGGACAAAAAAGAAAGATTGTCCTTTAATTCCAGCACTTGGGTGGCAGAGGCAGGCAGATCTCTGCAGGTTCAAGGCCAGCCTGGTCTACATAGTGAGTTCCAGGCCAACTGAGGCTATAAGGAAAGAAAAAAAAAAGATTATCCAAACTATAAGGTACTAATACCCTTTCTAGAACCCCAGGCTGGGGAAAGGATCATTCTAACATCACTAGCATCAATGAACCTCTGCCTGTGATAGGGGAAATCAGAACGCCTCTATGGAGACCTGACAATCCCAGTGTCTCAGGATCAATGGGTCCAAAAAGACATCACCAGAGAAACCAGAGGCAAAACTAATGTTCTGTCCATCAACATCAGCAAGCTGGGGCAGTCTTATCAGCCCCAAAGACTGTGTTTCTGTGTGTTTCTGTACAGAGCTGTACATTGCATTAATAAGAACTGATGACTACTGACTAGGCTTTGCTCTATGTGATTTTCTCTTTTCTAAGTTTTTAGTACATGCAAATTAACTTTTCTTCCAATATCATAGGCTCCTGGAAATAACTAGAAAGGGATGTGGTCAAAGAACTGAAACTTGACCATCTAGAACTCCAGCACTGGCTTCCCAGAAAGGGACCGAGGTAAAGACCTTGTCCGTTGTTCTGTGATTTAAAGCCAGATGGTTCCAGGCCCCAGAGGAATGCAAATACTCATTGCAAAATGATCAGTTCACATAAAGCAGCTCTCCAAACACATAAAGGCTTTTTTTTTTTTTTGCCTTACAGTCAGTTTCTTTCAATGAACAACCTCTCAATCTTTAACAACAAAACCCCAAAACCAACCACAAAACAACAACAACAACAAAAAGCCCACATTTTTTTATTGTTGTTTGTTTGGTTGATTTGTTGTTTTTTGTTTTGTTTTGTTTTGTTCTGTTGTTTTTATTTATTTATTTATTTAATTTTTTGTCTTTTTGAGAAAGGATCTCCCTGCAGCCCCAGCTGGCATAGAACTCACTATGGACACCAACTCGGCCTCAGTCTCACAGAGATCCACTTACCCCTGCCTCCTGAGTCCTGGGATTAAAGGTCACTATGCCTGGCCAGATTTTTAATCAGATTTCACTATCATACAATTCTGTAAGGGTAGGTTTCTTTAACTTTCCCAGAAATTTCAAATAGTAAGATTCAGGTGTGTAAAACCACTGACATTTCACATCATTCAAGGGTTCCCATCTGTGGTGCGGTGCTGTAACGATGTTAACAGAGTTTGGGAGGTGACCTGGGCCCTGGGTCATTTAGGGGAAAGGTCAAAATATGAGGAAAGATTCCTTTGTAGTCCTTTGGCCCACATCTGAGGCCTTGTTTTTGTTTTTTGGTTTTTTTTTTTCTTTTTTCTCTTGTCTTCTTGTTACTATCTGGAATCTCACTAAAGAGGAAGACTCTTTCCTGAGTTAGTGCTGGATGGTAACACAATAACCTGAGAGGTCACAGGGACTTTAATCGCTAAGATGTAGACTTCAGGACTAGAGCTGAGGCTGGCCTGACTAGAACTGCAGTACAGGACAGAAAAATGCAGAGCGGTGAATTCCTAGGTAACAGATGAGGGTTCAGGGGGAAGATGCAGGCTGAGTCCAAAGGATAAACTAATAATCAGTCTTTGCTTGGAGTGCGCTGGCCTCGGGGCACACGTGACTGCATTCTGGAAGCCTCTAAAGAGACTGGCTCAAGAGTTGCGTTATCTTGGGTGCTCGAGCACGCCCAAGCTTTGTTCAGAAGTGTCCTGTTGCCATCACAGGCTCAAGTCTTCTGTTCTCTGGTCATTCTTTGTCATTACTGCCAATAACTCAGCGATCCCAAGACCACAGTAGTGTTCTGCAGAGCAAGTCCCTATCCACTAAATCGTAATCCTGATTCCTTCTAGCCCATTCCACACCCTGAACAAATAATTTTCTAATCAAAAACAACCCAAACTCGGTAATTTCTATGTTCACAAAAGATAATATAATTTAAATAATATCCTGAGGCGCTAACAAATTTACACCTGGCCCCAAGTTTACTAAAATTTTCTATCAAGCAGAGCCACCTAGTGGCAGAAAGGAATATATTTTTAGTTTTTAATTTCTCACCTATAATAATCCATTCCAAGTGAGTTAGTTTTTTGTTTTTAAAAAATATTCTTTTTACTCACCCTTACTGACAACCACCACTTTGAGACTACATCCGTGTCTTTACCAAACATCTGTCCACCCAAGACAAACAAAATCATGGTCGGTTGTGCTACAACTGGCAAGTCTTAGGACTAAAACAGAAGCTAGCTCAACGGTGTCTCTTTGGAAGGTCAAAGAAATGTCAATACTATTTTATTTCTAAGGATAAAGAGCTCCTGGGATATTTATTCTGTATTTTTCCAAAAGAGCCTCCTCCTTGCCATACACATACCTCCATGCAAACTGCCACATTAAACTGCCAGGCACAGAGAAGGCGAGCAAAGTGCTCTGCTGTGGCTGGGACGCCCTCCACCTCACACAGTCTCTGGTAGAGATCAGAATTACCTTGGGCTTGGATTTGGCTCCTTTTCTTCCTTCAGCGTAGGTAAACACTCATAGTCAGCTAGGACAGAAGAAAAGCAAACTCATTGTTAGTCATCGGAATTCTATTTTCTATCCACAAAACTGACACAGTTGGGTATGAATGTGCCTGATCTGTGTGGCTAACTACGCAGAAAAGGCCCCACTAGGGAATTTTAGAAGTTCAAAGATTAATGATGGCGAGGCTCTTGAAATGGAAAAAGCACTAATAACTTGGATCCAAGACTGCTGTGTGCTCTGCCTCTGCTGGAAAGGGCGCAATTCATCATTGCTTGCTTATTTGGTCCCTTGGAAGCCCAGTGTGTTCTGATAGCCAGAATTTGCCTCTTGCAGGTAGATGCAGGAATGAAATGGCTGTGCTTGAGGCCTGAAGCCTCTGCAGAACAATTTCACAACAGATACTTCAGAGAGGTGGAGAGTGAACACCTTCTCACAGGGAGCTGTGTTCCTGTCTATTACACCTTTCGTTTGTTGTTGTTGTTTGTGTGTGTGTGTGTGTGTGTGTGTGTGTGTGTGTGTATGTACTGAATGTTTTGGAGGGGGTAGTTTGCACACACCATACCCATGCATGCCTATGTGGAAGCCAGAGGTGGGCATTGGGTATCTTCCGCTATGGCTCTCCAACTTACGTTTTGAGGCAGGGTCTCTCACTGAACATAAAGCTTGCTTTTTGGCTAGACTGGCTGGCCAGAAAACTAATGGGATCTGTCTGTCTCACCTACAGGGTTAGGGCTACAGACAGGGACCATCAAGCCAGTCTTTGACATAGGTTCTGGGGATCTGAACTCAGGTCCTCATGCTTACACAGCAAGCACTTTACCCACTGAGCCATCTTAACAGCTTAGCCAGCTGTTCTTATTAAAGAAAAAACACTTCCCGGCATCTACTCCCTATGTGTCAAAACCATGCTCTGCTCTGCTTTCTCAAATACAAAACTCTTTTGCTAGCTTTCTGGTGTCAGTGTAAGACACAATCTCAGGCACAAAAGGAAATGCACTGGGGCATTAAGCTTGAGTTTTTTTTTACACACACACACACACACACATGTATATGGGGGGTACTTGTGCTATGGCATGTATGTGGAGATCAGAGGAAAACTTGTGGGAGTCAGTTCTCTCCTTCCACCATGTGGGTTTTGGGTATCAAACTCAGGTCATCAGGCTTGGCAACAAGCACCTTTACCCACTGAGCCATCTTGCTGCCCTATATTTTTGTAGTAGAACTTTTTCTTCTTTCTGTTTCTTTTCTGCATGTTCCATATTCTATTATATGTGTATATTACAACTAGAAACAAAATGCACTCTGAGAATTAACCCAGTGACTAGCCCCATCCTCAAATGCTTCATAGAACCTTTCTTCTCTCTCTCAGGAAACATGTTAGAAGTTATACAAGCTAGTTGAATAGTTCTACTGTTTTAAAAAGTTCATTTTGGTAATCCTCTGGTGCAATAATTCTAAAAATAAATTTCTGGTATTGAGGAAACTACTGTAGAGCATTGATACTAATAAACTCTAGGGAATTTAAATATCAAAAAATACAAATGAGCCTGCCTTTAATCCCAACACTCAGGAGGCAGAGGTAGGTGAATCTCTGTAAGATCAAGGCCAGCCTGGTCTACATAGTGGGTTCCAGGCCAGCTGTGGCTACAGGGAGACCCTGTTTTAAACAAGCAAACAAACCAAAAACACAATTGAGAGGCTGGAGAGATGGCTCTGTGGTTAAGAGTGCGTGCTGTGCAATCATGAAGACTGGAGTTCAGATCTCAACACTAACATAGCAAACCAGGTGTTCATTGTATGCCTTTAACCCCAAGATCACTGGGGCCTGCTGGCTCCCCACCTAGTAAGAAAAACACAAGCTCCAGGTTTAGGGAGAGACCCTGCTTCAAAGGCATAGGCAGAGAGTGATAGAAGAGAGTACCCAACGTCCTCTTCTGGCTCCCAACCATGCACATAGATCTGCTTACCTACAAGTAAGCATACACTCACATATATACACATAAATAAATAAATATTTTTAAAAACACAAATGATCAGGCTGGGGAGATGGCTCAGTGGGTGAAAGTGCTTTCTGCACAATCATGAGTATCTGAGTTCAAATCCCCAGCACCCAGGTAAGAAGTTGAGTGTGGTTGTTTGTGCTGGCAACACCAACATTGTGTGTGTGTGTGTGTGTGTGTGTGTGTGTGTGTAGAGGGGATACACGGGCAAGGACATCTTGCTGGCCAGTCAGTCTAGCCCCAAAGAGGTGAGATCCAGGTTCAGTGAGACATCCTGTCTCAGGAGAATTAGGTAGAGAGCTATAGAAGGCACCCCACACCCTCCTCTGGCCTCTACATGTTTGTGCACACACCGATGCATATACCACACACATATATGATGCATACACCATGTATAAGCCACACGTGCACACACACACATGAATACAAATGATATGATAATATAAATAGTGGATTTGCTGAGCGTGGTGATGCACGCCTTTAATCCCAGCACTAGGGAGGCAGAGACAGGTGGATCTCTGAATTCAAGGTCAGTTTGGTCTACATAGTGAGTTCCAGACCAGCTGGGGCTACAGGGAGACCCTGTCTCAAAAAGACAGAAAAAAAAAGTGGATTTGTATCAATTTAATATGCTTATTAAGAATAATTCATTGATTTTTAAAGAAATAGTTACTATTTTAAGTTTTTTTAATTTATTTTTATTTTATGTGTATGACTGTACTGCCTGCATGTATGTAAGTGCACCTGTGTTGTGCAATGCCTGCCAAGGTCAGAAGAGGGTGTCAGATCCTCTTGAACTGGAGTTAGAATGGTGGTTAGCCATCATGTGTGTGCTGAGAATCGAATTCACGTCCTCTGCAAGAGTAGCCAGTGCTCTTAACCCCTGAGCCATCTCTCCAGCCCAGCTGTTACTATTTTAAATAGTGACTTAATGGAAAGTAGGGAACATATACCATAACTGCTGCTAAATAGCATTTGGGGATTGTTGTATGAGAATACTTTTATTATCGTCTACATTAGCCCTGTCCAACAGAGCTATCCATGAGATGGAAATGTTCTAGGGTCATCCTGTTAAATATTGTACCCACTGATTACTAAGCACTTACCACATGGTAACTAGAACTACATTTTTTTTGTTTGATTAAATAGTCACACATCTGTAATGTCTTTTGTATTGGACAGCAAAGATTAATACAAAATATATCTGATAAAGTTGTATATCCATATACAGATCAGCATTATTTAAATTTTTTTTTTTTTGTCTTTTTGAGACAGGGTGTCCCTGTAGCCCCAGCTGTCCTGGAACTCACTATGTAGACCAGGCTGGTCTTGAACTCCCAAAGATCCGCCTGCCTCTGCCTCCCAAGTGCTGGGATTAAAGGTGTGCGCCACCATGCCCGGCAGCATTATTTAAATTTGAGAGTATATAAGGTTAATGCCAGATTTTTTTCCCCAGATAATTTGGTTTCAGATTTCCTTCCTTGAAAAGAAAGATCAAGGCTGTGATGTGTAGAGCGCTTGCCTAGTATGAGTTTGATCCCTTAGCACCAAAGGAAAAGAAACAAATGAAAACATCATTTCCTGCTTGAAAAGTATCATTTCGGCAACTTGTACACAAATAAAAATAAGTGGCTATTTAAAGATAAGTCTGACCCTGCACCAGATTTACTGTGCTGCTTATAACCAGTATCCGTCTATTACCAGAAAGGAAGCAAATACTTTGTTAACACGTACCATTTCTATTCATGCTGCTCATCCATTTGTCAAGCTCTTCCATCTCTATTTCCATAACAGAAGGTGTGTCCTCTTCAAAAATAGGGCTAGACAAACAGCAGAAAAGTGCATTTAAAAAAAAAGGAAAAGTGCAGTGGGCTCATTTGGGGGAAGAGTCTAGACTGTTGGCTATTTGAAAACAACATGACTCAGTGTCTGACACCACAGGTTAGCCCTAGGTTTTCTCCATTCAAAAGAACATCAAACTCTATCAAGAAGAAAGGCAAAGTCTGCAACCAGCCCACATCTCTCACTGAGGTCACACCAGCTGGCATAGAGCTCAGGAGTGGATTACCAGGGAAGCCAGGGACGGCTCTCTGGAGGCCAAAGCCAAGCTGCAAGGCTGCTAAAGCATTGCTATGTTACCCTCTTGGTTTTACTTAATTTTACTTCTTTTTCCTTGGGTTTTGATATGTGACCCAGATCAAGTGCCACTGTCATTCAGGCTTCCTTTACCATGTATCCTATCCTTCCAGGCTTTCCTAACCAGGAAGAATGTCACTGTGGCTCTGAGAAATGCTTGGACCCATCTCCCAGGCTCCAAGGGCATGGATAGGGGACTAAGCCCTGAGGTAAGGGACAAAGGACCCCAGCTCTGACACACTGTGGGCATTACACTGGGAGAGGAAGTGGGCAGTTTCTATACCAGGGGGACTGCTGCAGGGGCAGGGGCGGAGGTGGCATGGCTCAGTGGCCTTGACATCCACCCAAGGCCAGTCTCTTTAAGTGTTATGCATTTGGCACTAGTAGCAGCCAGACAAAAACCCCTTTTTAAAGAGCTGATAAAGAAAAGAACAGAGACCCCAGGGTAAGGTCTGGAGACTCGGGAACAAGGGTTCAAAGGGTACCAGATGAAAGGGAAGCAAGTCATAGTGTCAGGGCAGAAGTAAGGAAAAGGTCAATGGCTCTCTCATCCCCTTGGCCTGACTATTCTTGTCCACACAGAAGGAACTGAAGACAGGTGCGGAGGACTCACACTTTCAGATTTTCACCTCCCAGTTCATCTGAAAGGGAATACATACACAGGTCACATTGATCATTTACAGTAACATTTCAACAACCGCTAAATGTTCTTTATGAAGAGAAAGAAATAACTTCAAGCGAATCGCGTTTATTTATTTATTTAAAAAAACATTTTTTAAACTTTGTGTGTGTGCCATGGCACACATGTGGAGATCACAGGACAATTTGTAGGAGATAGTTCTGTCCCTCTACCATGCAGGGGCCAGAGATCAAACTCAGGACATCAGGCTCTGGCAAATGCCTTAGCTCACTGAGTCATCTGGAGTCCAGTAATCATATTTTAAAGGAAGCAATTATTAACCTCCAAGAATCACATTTAAAACAATTTTTTTTTTTTTTGGTCTCTTTGAGACAGGGTCTCCCTGTAAGCCCCAGCTTGCCTGGAACTCACTATGTAGACCAGGTTGAACTTGATTTCACAGAGATCCTCCTGTCTTTGCCTCATGAGTGCTGGGACCAAAGGTGTGCCCAGGTAAATCGCATATCAAAGGAGCATTTATTAACCTCCAAGTATCACATTTCTGTTATTTATGTATTTATTAGTTATTTATCTATTTGTATGAGTGTTATGCCTGAATGTGTGTAAGTGCACCCGTGTTTTACAGTGCCCGTGGAGGACAGAAGAGGGTGTTGGATCCCCTGGAACTGGAGTTACAGACAATTGTTACCTTCCAAGTAGGTGCAGAGATTCGAACCCAGGTCTTCTGTAAGAACAGCCAGTGCTCTTAACCACTGAGCCATCTTTCCAGGCCCCAAGCATTACATTTTTTAAAGGAGCAATCATTAACCTCCAAGTCCCACAGCTTAGTCTGCCATATTGAAACCAGGCCTTAATCCCTGTAGAATCACAGACTCTGCTTTCTTTTAGAGACATGAGCTCCCCAGAGAGTATTCAATTCTGGTCAGATGCTCACCTTTATTATTTTTGTACCCACAGGAAGAGGAAAAGCGTTGTCAGGAATGAGAGGAAGGTTAAAAGAGAGGGCATACTTCTTGGCCCCCTTCAATAAAACATCCCAGGATCATCTCATGACACCGTGCTGAGCACTATGCTTCTGTCCTCTTGCCCTGGAATCTGGGTGACTCCATTAAGAGATGGTCTTTACCCTGAACCTTTAATGACTGAATCCCTCGTATCTCTCAGGAAGCCCTTCCCACCTTTATTTAAGGAAGGTCCATCTCTCCAGTTGCTCCCTGGCTTTGCACATTGCTCTTCTCCTTCAGAGAACTGCTTAGTTTCTCATTTATCAGTCCATCGCTTTGATTCTGTTTCATGTCTTTCCTACTAAGGCCAGGATCCTAAGGGGCCAGCATTGTGTCTGTTGTTTGTTGTGACATTCTGCTAGCATAGTTCCTGGCAAATGCCTAGTAAATTTCATTGAACAGATGAATAGATCTTAATCCCACTTTTCCAGCAATGAGATTAAATTCATGTCTGATATTTTAGACCTAGCATTATTTTAATGGCGGAACTTCCAACAAGCCTGCCTTTGTGGCTGCTGATTAGGCTGAGAGTCATGTACTAGTTGACAAAATGGCTCTAATACAATTCAGACTCCAAATGAACAGGTGGCCAAAATCAGAGCCTGCCACCTAAGCTCAAGCTGTTTGATTTGGCAGAGAGACCAACACCCCCAGAGAAGTGAATCAGGTATGCATGTGGGTGTGTACCATAGACCATGGCACCTTGCTTAACATGAAAACCACTGGAAAGCAAACCCCTTTGTAGAGGTCCCCAGACAGTCAGATATTCCTGATTCCTGGCAGTCAGAGGCCTACGGAAATGCAGGTTCCCAGCAAGGGAACACAGCCAGCAGGCACCTGGAACTGAGCTTGGCGTGGTACAAGCTGCTGTCACATCAGGCTGGTTGACAAGCTTCAATGGCACGGCCAATCCAGGAGAGCTGGGACAGATGCAAGTTTCATGCCATCACTGCTTGCCTTAGAGACACTGTAGCTTCTGTCCTCTGCCCCCAAACAGAATCTGAAGACACCTGACTCCCCAGAAACTTAGATGGGAGAAAGAAATTAACTTCATTTTATGTATTTTATAGCTACAGTTTTGTTATCATTGTTTGAGATTGGGACTCATGTAGCCCAGGCTGACTTAAAACTTACTACATAGCTGAGAATGACCTGGAATTCTGATCCACTTGCCTCAAACTCCTGAGTACTGGCATTACAAGTGTACACCACCCTGCGTGGTTTATGTAGTGCTGGGGGTCAGACCCAGGACAAAATGCATTCTAGGCAAACACTCTACCAACTGATTTACATCCCCAGCCTTACACAAATGGTTTAAATCTAAAATTTACTGGCTCTTTCCTTAAGCAGTTTTCCTTTAAACAAAGTTCCTACACAATTGGAACTCTACAGGTGACCCATAAAAAGCCCCCTGTTCTGCCACTCCCTCTTCCCTACTTAATCCTCACTAATTTCTCGGAGAGTGAGAGACTCCACAGTCCCACCGTTGTGGGCACAGATTCCTCTCTATAATCTGGGCTCCCTGTAGGCTTGGAGGTGAGCAAGAGCTGACCTGCACACAGATGATGGAAAAGTTTAAAAATCCATTACCAAAGTGCTCCAGATGCACCAAATGAGAAGCTCCCATAATCAGTATTAAAAGGGAGCAAAAAGCCTTCTGTGGCCTCATCTTCCCAGCTCCAAAGCCATTACCCCTGCCCCAGCCACCATGGCAACAGAAAAACATCTGGGAGAGCACACAAGAGCAGAGCATTAAGCCAGGAGGGAGACCAATTACTTGTCCTCAGCAATCAGGGCCTGCCTGTTCCACTCCACCTGGCCTACATCTCTTTATTAATAGCCACTGACTCCCTTTGCAACCTGGATTTAATGCAGCTCTTAGGCAGTGCACCCACCCCTACTGGATTCCGTTTGCCTCTTTCCATCCTTCGATGTCATAGCCTCCCACTCACCTTGTTCTTCTCCCTTAGTTCCTGCCTTTCGCCCACTTATCCCAACAAGACCTTCTCCAGCCCCTCTCCTCTGTGCCTTGGACCATGGGATTGTTGGCCTGGGAACTGAGGGAAGGAGTCACTCTGGCCTCTTGGCTTCTAGGCTGAGCAGTGTGCAAGAGAATCTTTCTTGGGAGACTCACTAAGCAGGGCCAGGCAGCAGGTAGCCACAGTCTCTTCCGAGTGATGATCCCCTGCCCATGTTTTCTCAGCAGTTCTTTGAGAGACACTCAGCACATCAAAACCATGTTGAGATGAGGTTGTGCCCTGCCCTAAGTTACTCTGTTATGTTTGCACATGTATCAGATTAGAGACGCATGTGCAAACATCTAAGTGTTAGTAGCATTAAAAATGAGTCTTTCTGTAGGAAACAGTATATTTTAAAATGAAATGGAGATCTTTTCTAAATGTTAAAAACTCATTCAATTTTATGTCTTACAGGGTTTATACTCAGCTCAGTATTGTATAACTATTAATTCAACTGTGAACCTAAAAATTTATAGCCACTTTTGAAAGAGATGTATCTTTGCTCTGGAAATTGTTATTGAATATGTTAAAGCTGTAATGAAATGCTTCTTCTAAACATGTGGTTATTAAATAAATTAAAAACAAAACAGTGTTCTTTTCAGACTGTGTCTTGCCCTGAGAGACTCCATTTTATAAGCAGAATTTGACTCCATCTTGAAAGTAGAGGATGACTGTGTACCTGGGTGGACACATGAATAATACCATCTGTTTAGAACTACCCACAAGACACAGGCTGATAAATAAGTAACTTACTCCTGAAAGTAGAAGGGTGCCACTGTATACATTTATCAAAGTAAATTGAGACTGTAGGAGCACTCGGGTAGATTAAAATCATATGGGGGGATGGAGAGATGGATCAGTGGTTAAGAGCACTGGCTACTCTTGTAGAGGACCCAGGTTTGATTCCCAACAGCCACATGACAGTTAACAACCATCCATAAGTCCAATTCCAGGAGACTCCAATGACCTCTTCTGACTCCTCGGGCATTGCACAACATGGGTGCATTTATACACATGCAGGCAATACACTCATACACATAAGATAAAAATAATAAAATATTTTAAAATCATATCAGGAAAAACAGGCCTGAGAAGTTGCCAGGCTGAAGGAAGGGTACAACTTCACAAAGACAGGACAACTTAACACTGTGATGGTGACAACCCCACCCTCCTGTCATCTGATCACTTAGTGCATGAGCATGTGTGTGTGTGTGTGTGTCTGTGCGTGTGTGTGTGTGTGTGTGTGTGTGTGTGTGTGTGTGTAGGGACTGACTGACACACAGAGAACTTCAGACTGTCCCAGGGGCTTGAGCTTGGCTTGGTCCCAGCTGAACTACAGCCTACTACAATTGCTGTCTGTCTGTCTACCTGTACATTAGCTTGGACCCAGTCCTGCCCTTTACCTTTACAGCCTCCACTGCATTTCACTTCCGTAGCTCAGCTCTGACTCTGCAGCCTGACTCTACAACAGCTACAGTTGTACCTGCAGCAGACCTCCACTCTGTCTGTACCTGCAGCAGACCTCCACTCTGTCTCTGTACCTGCAGCAGACCTCCACTGTCTGTACCTGCAGACCTCCACTCTGTCTGTACCTGCAGCAGACCTCCACTCTGTCTGTACCATTTCACTTCCGTAGCTCAGCTCTGACTCTGCAGCCTGACTCTACAACAGCTACAGTTGTACCTGCAGCAGACCTCCACTCTGTCTGTACCTGCAGCAGACCTCCACTCTGTCTCTGTACCTGCAGCAGACCTCCACTGTCTGTACCTGCAGACCTCCACTCTGTCTGTACCTGCAGCAGACCTCCACTCTGTCTGTACCTGCAGACCTCCACTCTGTCTGTACCTACAGACCTCCACTCTGTCTGTACCTGCAGCAGACCTCCACTCTGTACCTGCAGCAGACCTCCACTCTGTCTGTACCTGCAGACCTCCACTCTCTCTGTACCTGCAGCAGACCTCCACTCTATCTGTACCTGCAGCAGACCTCCACTCTGTACCTGCAGCAGACCTCCACTCTCTCTGTAACTGCAGCAGACCTCCAACTCTCTCTGTACCTGCAGCAGACCTCCACTCTGTCTGTACCTGCAGACCTCCACTCTGTCTGTACCTACAGACCTCCACTCTCTTTGTTTCCTTCCCTCCGAAGCTCTCTTTGCATACTTATCGGGTTTCCTAGCTTTGCCTTCTCAGGCGGTTTTGAAATTCCTGAGCTCTGCTGTGGCCTCTTTAACCCCTTTGTAGCCACTCTGTAAGGTACATATATACAGGTATAGATACAAACATATATGTGACATGTAATGTATGATCTGAAATTTAATATTAGTAATTAATATTGTGGTAAAAGAACCTGTGTATGCTTTGATAGGCTATAATGGCTTGAATGAATGTCTCCCATAGGCTCCACGTATTTGAACACTTGGTCCCCATTTGGTGGTGGTGTTGGGGAGAGTCCCAGAACCTTTAGGGCGAGTGGTCATGCCAGAGGAAACACGTCACTGGGGACAGACTTTGAGAGTAGACAGCCACACCCACTTCAGTCTGGCTGTCTCTGCTTCCTGTGTCTGCTTGAAGATGTGATGTCTCCGTCTTCTGCTTCGGCTGCCTCTGCTTCCATGCCTTCCCACCATAATGGACTCTGAGCCTCTGGAACCACGGGTCAAATAAGCTCTTCCTTCTATAAGTTGCCTTGGTCATGGTGTTTTATCACAACAACAGAAAAGTAGCTCATACACATGCTATCACCTCAAAGCCACAGTGTCAAAAAAGAGGATTAAGACAAGCTCTTGGTTCTTTTGGACTTCAAAGAGGGCATAATGTGACAGAAAAGAATGATCCAAGCAAAAGAAAATTTAACAACTCCCAAACGGACAGGTGGCCTGCTTCTGAGGACTGCGACTGCTCTGACAAGGAAGTGTGGAGGAGGTGCTGAGACAGCACAAAGGAGGTGGTGAAGAGTATCATTGAAAGAGGGATTGCTTAAGCTTTCTATAAACTTAAGAGCTGGGCACTGAAGAAAGAGGTGGCAGTTTGCCAAGTAGACAAGAAGAGAGTCCATCAAAAAGGAGTGGTATATTCACCAGGCCTGGAGGAGTCCTGAAAATCAGGTCAGACTCTGGACCAGCAGATGCTTAGCCAGGGCTACGGTGGTGTGGGATATTTGTAGGATGCTAGGGCTCTGTTTTCCACAATACAGACTGCTCCTCACATGCAAATGTCTGTGGAACTAAAAGACTTGAACAACACAGTTCAGTGAAAGGCTTAATCACATGACCGGAGGACGCCAGCCTCCCTTCCCCAGCCCACACTCCACTAAACAAAGCCAGCTGTGGGGCTGTGGTTTGGCAGGAAACTCCTACTTCCTTTGGGATTAAAAAGGGAGGAAAAGGAAAGGAAAGCCAGACGCTGTGGCTCATGCCTGTAGCCCAGCTACTACGGAGACCGAGGCAGGAAGATTGCTTGAGTCCATGAATTTAAGGCCAGCCTGAACAACATAGTATGCCCTTTTCTCAAAAAGAGGGGAGGGTGTCCAGACAGCCCTGCTAGCTCTTGCTTTAACTTCAGCTTACAAAGGCACTCCCACGTGATCACTGTTGCTAGGCTACTCTAAATTAATTTCTATCAGTGGGAAATGGTCCCCCTTCTTCCATGGTATCTATTTTACCAGCTCCTTTCGTGAAAAGAAACACACTTCAGAGCTTCTCTGGCTCTCATCTGCCTTATCTGCTGGCTGTGCCTATCACCATTGCAGCTCCTGCCCAGAGCTTCATGGCTACCCTTGTGTGGGCACAGAGAGCAAGGAAAGGGGGCCTGAAGGACCCAGAACGAATTTTCTATACATGGCACACTGCATATCTTATAAGAAAATCTCCTATTCTTTGAGTAATGTTTGGAATGGGTTTTAAAAACTTCAATTTAAAAGCTGATGCCAGGGAGCTGGAGAGATGGCTCAGGGGTTAAGAGTACTAGTTGCTCTCCCAGAGAACCTGGGTTCAGTTCCCAGGACCCACATGGTGGCTAACAACCATCCATGGCTCCAGTTCCATGAGATCCGACGTCTTTTTCTGACCTCTGTGAGCATTGTATGACAAGGGTACACTTGCATGCAGGCAAAACACTCACATAAATAATAAATAAATAAATTAATTAATTAATTTAAAAAATATTTTAAACACTTGACACCAGGACCGGTGAGAGCACTCAACAAGTAAAGGCACTTGCCACCACACCTAACAACCTGAGTTTGATCACCAGGACCCACATGGTAGGAAGAGAGGACCATTCCCCATAAGGTGTCCTCTGACCTCAGTATTTGTGCTGTAGCATGCATGCCCTCACACATACACACATACATGAGTGAATGAATGAATGAATGAATGAATGAATAGAACTTTTAAAAACTGAAGCCAATCATTCTTACCAGCACAAGCCAAAGGTATCCCAAGTCTGCCTGGAGCCCAGAGCTACCTGAATATTAGTGTCTGGCACTTCTGTACCATACTTTTAAAGTGGACCTCTGACTTCGAGAATTTTCTATCTTGTTCTTGAAGTGATGTCAGTAATCTTTAGCCAGTCAGTAATTTCCTAATAAACATGCAGCCTCAGCGTGAACAAGGACAGTGTTTTACTCCTCCCTTTTCAAGATCAAATTAGGATGTGGAATATGGGATGGGGGTGGAATAATATCCATGAAAGAAACATGGAGGGAAGACCCCTTTTCTTGGGAGGACGCTGAACTCTCCAACCTTTCATCCTTAACCTTAATCTGGTCCACCACTTCACCTGCCTGACCCTTTCCCCCCATAGTAGGAAATGCCCGACATGGTCCAAGATTCTACAGGACCCTTATTTGAAGTAGGTACCCTACTAGCAGCAGTGTATTATAATTTCAGTGTGACTGAAAACATTTAAAAAAACAGAATATAGCATTATTAACTTGAAAACCTCAGTGAAATATATCACTCATCACTTACTACCTTAACCTTCAACTCCAAGCAAACATCAGGCCACTACTCACATGTCTGTAAAGCACTTTGAGATCCTTGGCTAGAAGGCTCTGTGAAAAAGAAAAAAAAAAAAAGTATTTTTTTTCTGATGATTCACTAATGTATAAAGTAAATTGTCTGAAAATGAAAATATGCCAATTACTTGCCTTGTTTAGTTCTCTTTCTTTTAACGTATGTTGCGATAAGAACCACTGTTAGAAGCAGGAGGACCAGTACAGCCAGTGGGATCACCACCATCAATATAAACTCCAACTGACTGGAATCCTCAGCAGTGGAGGTAGAATTTGTTTCTGTAGTTAATGCTTCTGTGGTCACTATTGACAACGTACTTGTTGTAAGCTCTTCATACGTTGATGTTTCTTCTGAGGGGCTGTATCCTGAGTCGACTAACTCCTCAACAGTACCTGTGGGAATGTATACAAAACTGAGATTGCCATAGGGATAAAACTAAGATGTTATAGTTTCAATGATTTTTAAATTTACCCTAGATGCATTCGATGCTGAGCTTGATGCACTGCACTTGCCCTTCCAGATCAGTGTGACCCAGGTATTGATTTGACATAATGGAGCTCACACTGGGAGTATACTGAACATGGAATCAGAGCACAGAGATAAACCACCCAGAAACACAGTCTAGCCTCGACCAGACACTTTAGACACACTTACGGGCACTGGAGGCTGATCATGTCTTAGACAATTGCCCAAGCCATGTCGGGTGATATTCCATGTCATCAACTATATGGTATCAGGATATTTTGATAGTTTCTAAGTAAATTTAAATTTACAATTACTGAATCTGAAATGCATGTCATAAAATACACTTACATGTAAAGTAACGGGCCTAGCTATTTAGCTCTGTGCTAGAGTGCTTTCCTGCTAAGCACAAGGCCTGGATTCAATTCTCAGGTTGGTGGAAATTCTTTCTAAAGTTAAAGATATGATACACAGGGAAAGGTCAACTGCTTTAAGTCATACTCTGGCTAGGCCACACCTCCACAGGATGACCAAACTGGACAGTGCAAAGCCATTTCAATGTTTTATCTTTCTTTATAATTTCATCATAGTGAATTCCTCTGATTCAGGTTAAAACAATAAAACTATTTGTTTGGTTACAGTTATGGGCCATTTGTAGATTACCCCGCCCCCATTCCTATATTAATCCCTAATCTCTAATGTGATAATTAGGAGGTAGGGCCCCCAAGATGGGATTAATTCCCTTACAAGAAAAGGAAGAGGTAGAAGCTGGAGAGATGGCTCAGAGGTTAAGAGCATTTGCTGCTCTTGCAGAGGACTGGAGTCGGTTCCCATCACCTGCATAAGTTGGCTCACAACCACCTGTAGTTCCAGTTCCAGGAGATCCAATAAATGCCCTCTTCTGGCTTCTGGGGGTACTTGCATGCACATGTTCATACTTATTTACAGACACAAATAGTACACATTTTAAACAAAAAAGGAAGAAGAAAGGAAGGAAAAGAAAAAAGAAAAGAAAAAAAGAAGGCCAATGAGACATGTCAGTGTACCCTCAAATAGTAAATAACAGTGAATGCCCTGATGGAATGCTTACTATGTGCTAGGTACTGGGGTAAACCTGAGTCAACTAATCTGACTCCACAGCTTTACTGTCCCCACTTTACAGATTTGGGGAGCCATCCAATCACTTGGGTTAAGTTATACTGGTGCTCAGGGGACTTGTTTCTGTGGGTTTTTTTTTTAGACAGGGTCTCACTGTGTTGCCCAGGCTGGTGTCAAACTTTGAGTCTCCTGAGAACGGGGATCACAGGTGTGCTCCACCACTCCCAAGTGATGCACAGGGTTCTGCAGTGGCATTTGCCAAAGCCTTGGTTTCAAGTGGCAGACAGGGATCTGCTCACAGCTCTGTTAGTATTTGTGGGAACTTGGACAAATTATTTTCCCTTAATGACTTACTGCTGTAGGCTACGTGACTAAGGCGTGATCCTTGAGGTCCCATCTATTTCCACATCACTATGTTGATCCTAACGTACATACATTGTTTTTCACTAAAAAATGTTTGATGGCTGGAGAGTGGCTCAGTGGTTAAGAACACTGGTTGTTCTTGCAGAAGACTAGGGTTTGAATCCCAGCACCCACATAGCAGCTAACAGCTGTAACTCCAGTCCCAGGGGATCCGACAGCTTCTTCTGACCTCCATAGGCATTGTACAACATGGGTGCACTTACCTACATGCAGGCAATACACGCATACACATAAAATAAAAATAAATAAATAAAATTAAAAAAAAAATTTTTTGAGACAGGTTCTCACTCTGTAGCCCTGACAGAGCAGACTGGCCTTGAACTCTCAGAGATCTACCTGCCTCTACCTCCCAAAGTGCTGAGGTTAAAGGCGTGTGCCACCATACTCAGCTTTCATTTAAAAAATTTAACAGATAACATACACATGGTATTAACCTCACAAAAGAAGTTTCTCAGGACGACTCTTTCCCTTCCTTACTCAGTTTCCTCACCCAGAGGTAAGAACACTTTCTGCTGCCTCCCAAAGAATCACTATGCACACAAGAGTCTAAGTGTTGCGTTCCTATTTTCTTGTAACACAAATGGTAGCAAAATTTACAAGCTGCTCTGCCTCTTTCTTTATTCTCTAAAATATTTATCTTGAAGGTTAGTTTGAGTGTATATAGAGAGCCACATTTCCCTCCCAGTTATTTGGATGTGTCACCACTGTGGTGGTTAGAATGAGAATGCCCCCCATAGGCTCAGGTATTTGAACACTTGATTTTGCCACCATGCTTGCTGCCAGGCATCCCTACCATGATGGATTCTTTTCTCCTCCTCCCCCCGCCCTCCTCCTCCTCGTCCTCGTCCTCGTCCTCCTCCTCCTCCTTCGTGTTTGTTTTTGAGACAGGGACCCCCTGTACTTCCACCTGGCCAAGAACTAGGCTGGCTAGCCTTGATCTCACAAAGATTCACCTGCTTCTGCCTCCCTAGTGCTGGGATTAAAAGTATGAGCCACCATGCCCAGGCATGATGGACTCTTATCTCTCTGGAACCATAAGCCAAAATAAACTTTTATTTTGATCTAGTGTTTTGTCACAGCAACAGAAAAGTAACTAATATAATCACCAAATTCTTATGATGGAAATTTAGGTTATTCCTCTTGCATTTCCAATTCTGCTGTAATAGCCATACCTGTTAATCAGTTGGCACATGAGCAAGTTCAGTGTACCTTGAACGGGGAGGACAGGGTGTTGGGTACAGGGTAAGGAGACAGCATCACAGCACTCTTGACGATCTGACCTCTAAACTCCCTAAGACAACTCTGCCCCAGAAACTGAGTGGAGAAAGGCTAGGTGTGCAGGGAATCTTACATCAAAAGGAGAAAAATTGAAGACATAGTCAATCAGCCCCAAGAGTTTGTGGGAAGAAGACTCAAACGAGCCGGCAGACCAGGGCCTTAGAATCCAGCCAGTAAACAGGAATGGGTCACCAAGGTGCTGTAGCTGAGAGTTAGGGAGAAAACCAGAAACCAAAAAAACAACAAAACAAAACACCAAGGTGGATTCAAGAGGAAAAGCCAGAGAAGGCAAGGGGTGGGGTAGGGTGCGGGAGTATGCTGGAGCTAGCACAGTGGTTTTTCCCATAGCCAGTGTGTTAAAGCAACTTTTGACCCAATGGACATGGGGGAACTCCTAAACCATACTCGGTCTCTGTGACGGCTAATCGTGGGTGTCAACTTGACTGGATCTAAGATTAACTAAAATGAGAGAGACCTTCTTAATTGGATCATCTGAAGCTGGAAGATACACCTTAAATGTGGGTGTTTCTTCCTGATGGCAACCGGTATTAAAGGCCATGGCAGAGGAGAGAGCTTACTTTTTGCAGCTTGCCTTCTCTCTCACTGGTGAGTTCATCTTGGGCTGTAGACTGAAGATGAGCAGAACCCTTGGAATTCATCAGACCTTCAGCGCTAGATTGGGACTACTGAGACATGCAGCCTCGTGGACTGAGCAACTACCAGATTCTAAGGCTCTGCAGTGTGGTGTGGCCATTGTTGGACTACTTGGACTCTATCCTGTGAGCTAATATGTACATAGAAGTGCTGGAGAGGTGGTTCAGCACTTAAGAGCACTGGCTGCTCTTGCAGAAGCCTAGGGTTCAGGTCCTAGCATCCACATGGCAGCTAACAACAGTCTGTAACTCCAGTTTCAGGGGACCTAATACCCTCTTCTGGCCTCTGAAGGCATAGGCATGCATATGGTACACATATATAAATACAGGCAAACACACATAAAATAAAAATAAATAGCTAAGTGTGGTATCCCAACACTTGGGAGACAGAGGCAGGTGGATCTCTGTGAGATAGAGGCTAGCCTGATCTATACAGTGAGTTCTAGGCCAGCTGGGGCTACAGGGAGATCCTGTTTCAAAAAAATCAAAAATAAATAAATAGATATATTTTTAATAACCCAACTGTTTGTTGACAGTATTCACACAAACACATCTGGGACTCACAGTTCACATATCCGATGAGGACCCTAAGGGGAACAGCCAGCCACACATACCCTTTATCACCATTCTGAGCATCATTATCTGGTGGAAATGACTTTGCTTCTTGATGACTCAAATGAGTTAACTTCTCTTTTTTGAAAGTGGAACAGATGTGCAATCAAGATCTAGGGTGTGTTGTGCTGATACTTTGTAGGCACATTTGTCTTGCTGAGGATCTTGTGTGTGCTAAGAACATGCTCTCTACCCCACACCCTGCTTGTTTTGAAAATCAGCAAGGGTTATTTTATACCAGCTGATCCAATGCCATACTACTAATGCCATGTGAAATAAAGCAATGGTAAGAGACCATTACCTAACTCAGGGTATCATGAGTTATGTTGGACCTTAATCTGATGCCCTGTGTTTGCCTTTGTCAATTATGTAGAGTGCATGCTCAAACCATTTAGACACTCTTACAATTCAGACAATGAAGTGAAACAAAGCCCAGCTGGTGTTCCAGGTTCTCTCTCTTGCTCTGTGGAGTAATCAGCCATTTGTGAGTTTCAGGATGCTCAAGAAACCAAACCCAAGACTTCTACCTACTTGTCACCCCTGTTCTCTGTATACGGCAAAGAGTCCAATTAGTGTTAAGAGGAGAAGACATAAACAAAGGGGCTGGAAATGTAGCTCAGTTGGTAGAATGAATGAAGCCCCTGGGTTCAACCCCCAGCACTGCAGCACTGGGCATGGTAGCGCATGCCTATAATGCTAGCACTTTAGAGATAGAGGAAGGAGAATCAGAAGTTTGAGTCATCCTTGACTACAAAGACAGTTTAAGGCCAGCCTGGGCTATAGGAGATTGTTTCAAACAACAAACTAATAAACCAAGGAGTTCTCCAGCAGTTCTGCCTCAGCTACACATTTCCTTCCTTTGGACA